CATGTTATTCATGGCCAATCCTAGTCGTCTGGCAGTCACTCCGTGCCCCCCCCCCCGAGTCTTGATAATGACATCACTCATGACACACATGCAAGAATCTCTTCTCAAAACAAGAGCAGCACCTTCTCTGGTCAGGTGTGCTGACATCCTCTCTCTCTTCCTCCATCTGACCCACACCAGTGATTTGGTCAAACCAAACTCCCCTCGTGATTAATCCAAATTCAGGCCTGAGACAAAAATGACTCAGGCAACAGTAGCCTGACCATGACACACCTGGCAGCTTTTGCAGCCAAATGAAATACTGCTTAGACTTGCCATGCTGTTTGTGTCACACACTGATCCTCCTGACCCTTGCTCTCTGCAGGTATGTAGAGACACCATCCCATTGCTGTGGAATATCAGCTGCAGCACAGTACAGGCAACCAGCAGTTATACAGCGAGATGTGCCAAGCCTTCCAGTCAGCCTGGCATGACAAAAACCTATGATACACACCTCACTCCTGTGGGGCTGTTGGTATGTGGCACACAAAGCCAAGCATCTTTGTCCTTTCTGTGACAGATAAATGTGTGACACAGCCTACACACCACCTGCTATGTACCATCACATGTCTGACATACCCGATATATAGCCTGGGCTGCATCATCCTTCACTGCTATCATTTGTCTAAAATAATAACGGTTGGCAATAAATGATTATGATACAGCCAGTGTACCAACTAACACCTTGTTTATCAGTGTCTGTGGTATACCTAACACAGTTTCCTCCACACGCACACTAAGACATACCCTTTTTATTCACCATATCACATTTGCTGCATATTCAGTGTTCACAGCACATTGCCCTAAAATACATGTCAAGCACTTTTGACACAAAACACCTGATGCATCAGTAACCTTTTCTCCTTCCTGTTTCCTAGGCTTTCATGTATGGTTGAATTTACTTTCAAAATATGACTACTTACCAAGCAACACATGCTGAAAATCCCCACAGACACTGGGACATAAATTGCCATTCATATACATAACACACTGTACTTTATTCCGTTCTTTACCACAGAACAGATGAAGTTGGAAAGGAGCTCTGGCAATCACTCTGTCCAGTCCTCCAGCTCAAAGCAGGATCAGCTACAGCAGGTTGCTCAGTATGTCGCCAGCCGAGTCTTCAGCATCTCCAAAGATAGAGCCTCACAACCTCTCTGGGCAACCTGTTTCAGTGTCTGACCACCCTCACTGTAAGAAGTTTAAATGGAATTTCTTGTATTTCAGTTCGTACCCACTGCCTCTTGTCCTGTCACTGGGCACCACTGAGAAGAGTCTGCCTCCATCTTCTTTACACCCTTCCTTCAGATATTTACATACATTTTTAAAACATGACCTCCAAGCCTCCTTTTCCTCTACATGAAACAATCCCAGCTCTCTCAGCCTCTTCTCATTTGACAGATGCTCCAGTCCTTTAGTCTTCATGGCCCTTCGCTGGCCTTACTCCAGCATGTCTGTCTCACTTGTACTGGGGAGACCAGAACTGGACACTGTACTCTAGATTTGGCCTCACCAGGTCTCACCACACAAACCAAATATATTCAGCTTACTGCCCTGATTCTGTCTTGTATAAAATTCTCACTCACCAACGTTCATAACCTCTAGATACAGCACACTCGCTGAGTGTCATGAGGAAACAACATACATATTGCTCAACAATTTGTGTTACGTTCCCAACTTTTCCCTTCAAATAAGAGACATACCCACTTGCTCACATGTGATACTCCCATACACCAATCCTGTCATGAATATAGCAAATTCAGCCTGCTTTCCTCTGCCTTTTAAGTATGCGACGGTTCCATCCTAACCATTGTCACTGTCCCCCAAATGACAGGCACTACATACACCTTGCCTCCCACATTTAGTTCATCTACACATGACACACCCAGAGCCATTTTAGACAAGCTGTGAAACCCCCACCTGCAGGATAAAGATATGCCATCCAAACCTTTTATGCAGTACCCAGTTGATGGGATTGTTTTCCACAGTAATGAGCTATAAATTCTGTGAATATCTGCTGCAATGTTTATTCATTTGTACTATGATACATCACCCTGCTATATAATACGCTCCCACTTTGGCATACTTCCTGCAAAGTTACAGCTGATAGTTAAAATATTCATCAATGCAAACATTGCTGAGCATTTCTAAGCCTGACTTTCCTGAGTGTATGCATATTCATTTGGTTCCCCAAACATCCTAGTTTTGCTCCCCAAACCTCAGATGTGATTTAGGCAGTTCTCAAAACTTCTGCCTAATAAATATGCCATGGAAAAGGTCACCCCACAGATGATGTTAGTGGCCAAAATGCTTATTTACCTAGACACCATGTGATGCACTGTTCTCCTGTCTGTTTAGGCTGCTTGCCAGTACTTCTGGCTTCTCATTAGTCCGTGGCTGCAAGCCAGAGACCACTTCTGGCTCCCAGGTTCCCATCTGCCTGACACTGTACAAAAGTGTCACAACCTGAGAGCAAGAGATAATTTTAGGCAAGTCTCAAGAAGCTAAATTAAAAATAAATAAATAAAAAATGCAAACATACCACACCAAAATGATGGATAGTATTTTTGTTACTTTGACAGCAACAAAATTTGACAAAATTACTAAGTTCTAAGCCTTCTGGAAAAGAAAACACATGTGCATCAAGTTCACACTTCTAAAAGGTGTAGTTTCAGATTGTGAGGCGCAAGGGTTTGTATACACAAGGAATGTACTAACAGAAAACTAGTGCAGTATCACTACTCCACTGAAGATGTGTGTAACCGTTATACATCAGCTAGTGGACAAAGTTATTTCAGAATAAGAGTTTTTCTAGATTATTGTGTGCTGCTTTAAAAACAGTATGAAGCAAAGAGGAAAGAATGTCCACCTAAGGATTTATGTAGTTGTAACTACAGTAATGTAATAATACTAGATTTTTTTTTGTTTTATTCCTATAATTAGACAAGCTCCAAGGCAAGTACCTCTGCATCCCAAATATGGTTAACAGTTTATGGACAGAAGAGAACTCTACAGCTGGGAAATCCTGAAATGTAGATTTTTGGCCATGCAAAAAATGAGTTCAGTTAGGAGAAATTTGAGAGGCAGTCATTCCATAAGTGCAAGGAAAGAGACTGAGCACAGTGAAGATAAGACATTTGATCTGTCTCAAACCGTTTAGGATTTTCCAGCTGGGTCTTATGATTCTCAGTAAGAATTTAATCTATTTGACCAGCTACCGTTTGCCTTTCCAGCTCTCTTGCATGCAAAATGGAGCCCTGGATTCCTTTTATTACTGTTTATTGGGCTGCTGGTGTTGTACTATGTTGAACTTGAGCACAAACAAACTTGGAGTATTGAAGTGAGAACAATGCTGGAGTCAGTGAAAGAGCAGGTCAGACAGTGTATCTCTAGAGCAATTTCCCATCATCTTGAAACTAAGTCAGTTTGGAAAGAGTCCTGGAAGTGCTATTTCTTATATGGTTAGAATAGGAGATAGTATCAATCTGTTGCTCAGGGTATGCCCACTACTGGAAAAGTTTTTTAGCATTCTTCTTAAAAAATACCAGTATAGCTGAGTTGGATGCAGATGCTATACTTCTCCTCTGGAATAAGGCAAGAATTTTTTTTTGCCACTGAAGATGAAGTCTTTCCCATTACCTACAAATCCATTCTCAGGAAAAAAGAAATAGTGATAGTGCAAGCAGAAGGGTTAGTAGTGCCCTCCGTTTCAACTGTTGGGAGGACTAGCCAGTTTTACCCTTCAGGAAAGAAATAATTGTAATATCTGATTAATGAAGAACGGATGCCTCTGAATGCTAAGCATTCTTGATACCTTTTTTTTTTTTGGCAATTTTTCCCATGTGCTCTGAAATGCATAATATAAGGACAGGTCCAAAGCCTTAATGTATGCAAAATCAGATTTCACAGCTGATTCTATGAAAAATCTTTTGGCACCAAATGCACTAAAAATGGAAAACAGCAGTTTAGTTGAAGCCTCCATTCTGCAGGACGTTATTCCATTATTCACCTCAGAAAGTTTCATAGCTATCTCTGTTGGGTGTTATGAGGCTGTGACAAGAAAAACGGTGGAAAGTCTTGCCTGCAAATGTTGCTAAGCCTAATTATTTATACCAATTGACCTAAGCCTGTGTGCTGCCTGTGTCTGCAATAGCTACTCATTTAGTCAGCTAAATCACCCAGTGATGTTTGCACTTTTCACTTGAATGAATGAATAATAAATAAAAATATCAGAAGGTAAAAGCCCTT